TATTATCAATATCATATATTGGTGGAATGTCTTGCGACAGTACACATAACCTCACCGCATTTTCCACAGGTTCTAGGACAGGCTTGTACCATACAGTCATCGGTACACATGTCTCGTTTGATCATGGCAAGACGCTGACAAGATGCATGATCAATATCATCACACTTGGATGAGAGGTTAGCTATGAAAAATGTCATATAAGAATTAAAGATTGCATAAAACAATATCATACTTAGGAATACTTCTTAAAATATACAACCATGTTATTCTAGGTCACTGAATATCTCTGTAAAAATTAACTCGAGTATGAGAGCGTGGTGCTGTGTGGGAGTATAATTATTAAATGAGGTTTTCGACTTGCGTATATCTTTTTGATATTTCTGTGCTTTCTTTTTGAAAAGAAGTTTATCTTCTGAATTTTAAGCCTTCTAAATCCTTCAGGAGGAAAACATGTTCAAGTACTGAAAGCAATGGATGAAGGGCGTCCATTTTCATTCTATTACTGGAAGAAGAATATTTAACGTATTTTATTTAACTATATATATTTAAGATTACGTTGTTGTGATGTCGTCATCATCGGGGGAGTTGCTGTTTGTGTTGCAAACGTAGGAGTTGTCGTACGTGGACGCATTGTTGTCATCATAGGTGGCGTGGTTGTTCCAAAAGTAGGAGTTGTCGTTCTTGGACGCATTGTGGTTGTCGTATCGAAGAAGTCCACCTGCCTTTTACCTACAGGACGATTCCTGTTACAAAGGTCGTTATCACAACATTCTCCCTCAAGGTTTGACCTACGTCCAATGAGTGACGGTGTTCCAGATCCAAACAATCGTGTACAGACCTAGATTTAATCAAAAGTTACGATTGATAAGAGGTGGAATTAATTGTCTTAAAGTTCTACGATAAAAAGGGGAATTTCAAATAAAAGTGTATATATAGTCATTATTTTATTTTGCTTATCTTGACTGTAAATGCTTTCAGAATAGTATTTGCTTACATTTATATACAACAATACTTATGTATTTCAAAATATTGACTGTGTTTTATCACACAACACGTATTCATCAATCTCTGTAAACTGAAAACTTTACATCTGAGCTGGCGCAGCCTTGTCTGTAATTGATGGAAAAATCATCTCCTAAAGACTCAGTTACGATGCAGGACTACAAGAACAACAAACATACTTTCCTAATTAGTACATGTATCACTTGAAATATATGAAGATAACGAACAGTATTCAAGCTCAAAAGTCCAAGTCCAAGTCAAGGAAAGGATTTTGGAAACAAAAGCAACATCCTTAAGTACATTATATGTATTTTTGTTTATATACTGATGAGCCGCATGGCTTAAAGTTATTCAATAAAGAAGAATTAAGTAAAGAAAGAAGCTTAATTTTTTTTTATACTTAAGATCAATTAATTCTAGTATTTTCTATTATATTTCTTTTATGTATAAAATTGCTTACATAAGATTTGTCTGTACAAATCATTGTTGTGTTGCACATTGTGGGCGAGGACACTCCATCACAATGAAAACATTTGAGTGCTGAATAGCATTAAAATAAAAAAAATGTCAAGACAATGGTAACATTTGAGGGCTGAATAGCATTAAAATAAAAAAATGTCAAGACAATGGTAACATTTGAGGGCTGAATAGCATTAAAATAATGGCAAGACAATGGTAACATTTGAGGGCTGAATAACATTAAAGTAATGTCAAGAAATTCTTTCATTTTGTCCTCATTAAATGATTTGTTTTTTACTAATTCGATGATTTCATAAATAAGAGTTGTTAAGCAATAAAAGATAGATTCTCATATACAAGTCCATGTAAGTTATCTAGAGCTCATGCAATGAAAACATTTTCAAATTTAGGCTGTCACATGTATTTTATGAATATGATATGTGAATAGAGAGGAATTTATCCATTTTTTGCGATAAATTGCCCTTTCCTTGAAATTGCTCCAAACAAATACACAGTGTGCTATTTGACACGTAAAACATTTGGCTTCATACCTATATATTAACTTTTTCTTGATATTCGTCTTTCAATAATTGTCAATTTTGCTATCTTAAAACGCATGCACAAGATGTAACTTTATTTTGCTTCAGCATAATAAAAGGCATACTATCTTTTAGTTTATACATTGTGGTAACGAGACTTTCAACAATAGCAAAAAGGAAAACTTACGACACAGATTGCATGTTCTTGGACAGAGCTTTGATAAGCATGGATCATTGCAGATGTTTACATTGGCAGCAAAACCCTGACAAACTTGATCATCAATATTGTCACACAGCTGCTGGGATGATATTGCAGCAAACTGAATCACTACACCTAAAAAGAGCTAAGTATTACTTTAATAAATTCTGGTCGATTGATAGAAGAATTTTGAAGCACAATAAAGCGAATGAGTTCCTTCTTTATTGAAAACTTGTATACAGTTTATAAATATGTCAAATTTCAGATAAATATTAGAGATTGGAATCATACATGATTATAAAAATAGCAAACTAGAAGTAACAATAAAGTAATTATCAAACCTAAGAGTTCAATAAAAGTCCTCATGGTCATGTCAATAGTAACTGTCCGATTGCTTATCTAGAATGATAACCAAGGAAACATATAGGTGTGAATTAGATACGGCATATTTTCTTACCAAACGTTTAAACATTTAAACCTTAAACATGTCTTTAATCATCTAACTATAGCATTGATAAAAAAAATTCCTGTTCTTTTTGAATATAAAACATTGTTTTAAAGTTCATATCACCTTAGAAAAAGTTGATTTATTTAAACAGATATCATATAAGATAACGGCATTGATAATGAAAAGCCAGAAGTCCGTACTTAATAACAGCTAGATCGAACGAAATAAGGTTCACATTTTCAATATTGTAATGTAGATTAGAGTTCATGTCTCCAAGTTGATTCAATAAACAAAACCCAACTTCGTTTTTGCAAATATTTTAGTCAAAACAAAGACCCGGGTAACAAAAACAATCTAAATTTCTATTGAATACTGACTCTTTCATACGAATTGTCAGGGCAATATTTTTTCGCTGAATCATCTTTTGTTTTTATATTTTCCTAATTTTGACGATGATCACACAAAGGGATTGACGGGGGATGCTCAGGGGATGCTCACTCCACCGTTTTACCAGATCCCACATTATTTTTTCTAGGAATGTGTCTTCACAAAGTTTCTATTATTGTTTCATTAAACATAGATTGTTATAGCACAGTGACTCCTCTTGATTGAAATTGGTAAATATTGAAACGTTCAGTAAGACGTTGCATATAGTTGACGTACAAGAAGTTTATAAATGAAGTTCAATTACTGAGTATGTGTTAGAATGGTTAATCGTTCCCTATCATAGTGCGATAAAGAGTACAATATATTGCTCCTCATTATATTTAGTAATATGACCATAGTCATTGCCTGCTAGTTTATGAAAAGGATAATGAAATGAAAAGTGGAGATAGGAAATACACATGAAACCCTAGAAATGTAACAATTATTGAGGTACTATAATTCAAATAGCTTGAATTTTTTTTGTCCTGTGGCTTTTTTTTCATTGAGATAAGTCCTGTCATTGCTAAGTGCATTATTTGTAAATAACTAAATTTGACCTGCTCCGTGATCCAATTTTCTTAATTTTAAATCATGAAGAAGTTTGATATTTAATAAAATTTTAAAACTTAATTTTTAAAATAATATTTACCCAGACGATTAATTATAAAGTTATGGTATACTTCAAACAATCCTCGTGCCTGAAGAAAATGTAACAACACTATAGCTTTTGATTCTTTCAAAAGGACTAAGCTGTACATATATACTTTACCGATAAAATATCTAGGTAAGTGAATGTGGTGACCACCATTAAAATTAAAATTCCAAGAAAAAAAAAACAGGTATTAACTTATCTCATAATATACATTACGTGACGTTTTTACCATTTGCTAATTGAGATTTAAACCTTTATTTTTTCATTTTATTCATGTAGAAATAAAAAACAAAGCACAAGAATACGGTTAATTCTTTTATTTAAAAAAAAAAACCCCTGGGTGCCATTAATCAACACCCACCTTAGTATGTTATTTACTGACAACGTACAAATATAGAGATTCACCTTTAAATCACAACTGTTAATCGGTATCTTCTTCAATAAAACAGGAACTCGGAAATTTTCCAGTCTTGTGAATGCTCAACAACGAAATACTGTTGGGAGAGTCTTCCAACGAACTGTCGATAACTTGTTGTGCTCCTCTATTACCCGACTAGTAATGAAGCAGACTTTATTAAAAAAAAAACTACACAATATGACGTAAACACTTGCAGTTTCCCCATCTCGGTATTCAAATTTTAATCGACGAAGTTTATTCAATAAACATAAATTATTCCCATTCATATTGATGTCGACTTGGTATATCACAGTGAACTTGAAATAAGATGGAACACATAATATGCCATGTCTGTTTTTTATTTGGATGTTATTCTGACTTTTAATGACTTTTATGAAAATATTCCCATCATGCTCTTAGAACGATCAAATTTTTTTATAATTGTAACAATTGATGTAACTTCAATTCAATTCAGCATTTTTAAATTCTACGGAGATTATAATGCTGTTTAAGGAAACATTACCATTTAATAGGTTTTATTTTGGCTGACTTGTTTCATGTCAATGATCAAGCCAATGCTTTTGTACTTTTAATTACGGAATGTTCCTTCTACTTAATCAATAAATAGGCATACGGTAGGTGTGACTCGTCAACAGGGTATGCTTATTCCTTCTGGTATCTGATTTTATTTCTGGAGTTTCTGAGAGTCTGCGATTTGTGTCTTCTTATTCAAAGATTTCCTATATATCGCTATTTGTTGTTTTCAACAAATCGGAATGATCTTTTATTATATTTAAGTATCAATATTAAAAATAAACTAAAATAAATATTGATACAGGTTGTGATATGTCGGCCTAGTTATTGCAGATGCTTTATATGCCAGTTTCAAAATCAGTAATTAAAGGTGACAATACAGATTGAAATATAACTGAAATAAGCAAGAAATTAAATGAGATCACAAAAAATACTTTATTTAAATTTTGCTTCACAGATATAATAATGAATATCATCACATGAAGAAGGCTTAAGCAAATGGTCATGGGGTCCCCTGTGCCCCCCGTGTCCCTCTAGAACAAGACAGTCGTTACCGTGTAGGTCACGAGGAACACCTGGAACTCTTTGACGTGACGTGTCCCAAACCAGGTGATTATGGGAATCGGTGTGAGCTCCCAGTATAATAACTTTCCTATCATTTGGTAGACCTGTAAAATTAGTAGAATATTTTTATATAGCTATCATTCCACAAATAATTTTGTCAATGTTAAAAAAATTAGTTTAAATGGTATTTCAATGCCACTAGGGCAAGGAAGAATAATGACAATAAATAACTACTAAACTTACCCCAAAATACACTATCCATAAGGATCCGGATGCTATCTATGTCACGGTCTGATATATTTTCTAAGAGATTAGAGCAATGATACTTGCAGGAAATCTAAAATGAAGCATTAAGTTGATAATTTTGGTTTCGCTCAGCTTTTTGCTATACATAATGTGAATGAATGTGAATTCTCTTCATTACATTACCTTTGCACTTTCGTATGTTGACAATTCTGTACCAATAAAAAGACATTTTCCCTCCACAAGACTAAAACCAGTAGGACAGTGGTGTCCTGCTACATACATGCATCCGTCTAAAAAAAATATTAAAAATGCTGAATATTTTTCATAACTGCCAGAGTCATGTTTAGAATTCAAATTACGTATTTTGAATAATATATAAAGCATGTTGCGACCTTTATTAACTTATACTTAAAAAAATCTTCTAATGCCTTGATTTGTCTCAACTCCGTTTTTCAAACTATAAAATGCACAAAATCAACCTGGTGGGGTCGTGGTAGATTGAGGCTGCGTAGGCGCATGCGTAGTTGTATGCGTAGGAGCATGTGTAGGAGCATGCGTAGTAGTTGTGGTGGATGTAGTGTGAATAATGGGGTGGTGATTGCAGAGGTCCCCATTACAGCAATCTCCATCTAAAATCAAACCTAAATGGTCGCTTCTTCGTCCAAACACATTGCCAGCATTTATGTGGAACCTTGTACACACCTATGTTATGTAAAGTTTTTTTTTATTCTATAGAAGGTGGAAAAATGGAATTTGTGAAAGGCGTTTTGCTTGTCAATTTGCTTATAACAAGTACTATAAAGTCTAAACCAGAAAGGAAAAACATTAAAAAAATATTTTCAATAATAATGATATTGGGGGGAAAAAGAGTACACGAAAACATATATCCCTCCTGCTTCTAATGGAAAGTTTACATTATTATTTCTGTCCTTAAGTTTCATCAAAGTTTAGTAATTTGTGTATGTCTTACATCTTCATGAAGACATCCTGCACGGTAGCCATGCTCCCCATTGTCTAAGTACTTTTCCACTACATAGCATTTCTATAAACAGTATAAAGTTTTTTTTTATAACCAAACAAAAAGTAGTTTTAGCGTCATGTTTTGAAATCTGTATAAACTGTAAAAATTAAGAAATAAAATAGATTATTTTCTATTTTTTTATCAATATAAATGATGCAATCACTTTTCAGGAAAAAATATGCAAAAAAAAAAAAATTAAAAAACTAAATGCAGAAACGTTAACAAATTATCCTTGGTTGTAAGGACAATGATGAAATCTCTTTTGTACATGTACAAATCTGCTTTAATAAGATGTCTAACGAAAAATAGAAAGAGGGCGCTTTTGATTGACATTCGGCAGGAATCTGGGCGTAATTGAAAAGTGGAAATTTTATCGACATGTCACATGAAATTTTAACATTTTTTTTATTTATCGGGTTCCTGTGCAACAGGAAAGGAAAATGTTTTCTCGAAATTAAGCTTTGATTTGCTAAAAAATAACTTGAAAATTGGCCAGATCAGACATTTAGTACAAAATGGTACATTTTAAACACGTTTTTCTAAAATTTTTCTATCTCTGGGTCTTCTCTCCATGATTTTTAAACGTTATTTGTGTGTATTTTAATTCAAAGAAACGAATACACATTTTTAAAAAATGGAGAGAAGACCCAGAGACCACGAAAAATGAACTTTTCCCAAAAAAATCCAAATGTGTGAATGTGATGCTTCTTTGTCCTTTTAAAATCATCCATATATGTGTAGCGGTGATAGCTCAGTAAGTTGGGCTACCTGTTCAGTGCACTCGAAGTGTAAAGTTTTTTGGTTCGAGCCTTGCAGGGGGCGTTAATTTTTTTTTTCATGCAAACAACAATTTATTTTGTCAGTTTCGTTTTATGTACTGATGTATTAAAATTTTGAATTAGATAAATTTTGGTTCAGTTTGGTTCTCGAGCGAAATCAATTCCAATCTTCTATTCTATAATGTACATGAACACGTATCATGCATCTATGCATTTAATATTTTAGGTGTTTATTTGTTGTGAAACATAACTATGTTATAGTACCCCCTAGGAAAAACGGACATATATGTTACACTCTCACAAAGTCTTTCAAACTAAATGAAAAAAAACCTATGGACGTGTTTGTAAAATCTGACCAGCTATGTTCAGCCAACCAAATCATAGACATTTAAACCATAAATGTTTCGTACAAATGATTCCTGCAGATCACACGCCAAATGCGCCCATCTTCTTTTATCTGTTAACTATCAAATTATTTACTAATTGATTATAAAGGGCTTACCTCGCCCAGTGAACAGACTGATCTATCTGTACAGTTTTCTGGAGTGTCCATGAAAATGCAGGAATAACATTCAGCTATAAAATCAATTACTTTTCAATATTAATCAGAATAATTTCTTTACTTTTTTCATCAATGGGTACAATAAAAGTCATAACCCTAAAGTCCATTTTAAGATAAATAATTTTATTTAATGGCATATGATAGCACTTATAAGAAAAAAAAACACAATTATGATCTGCTTTTATATTAATTCTTACGGCATTTCCCACAGGTACGTGGACAGACGTGCACAAAACAATCATCACTACACATGTCCCTCTTGAGAGAAGCAAGTTTTTGACAGGAAGCCGTGTCGATATCAGCACAACCTTAAAATAATTTTTATTGACGTATCTGATTGTTTATGATAAATTTTGAAGGCTACTTGTGTTTTTATCAGTTTTTAAACAGTGATGCCTAATAACACTATATATATATATATATATATATATATATATATATATATATATATATATATATATATATATATCGATAGCCGAGCTGTCTAACGCGCTGTTCCTGCACTGCTAGGAGACAGATTCCGTAGGTCGAGAGTTCAACCCCGGGCTGGGGCGGAAGTGAGTATCCTTGTAAAAGTGAATTTCTCTGTGCTTTCTATATTAATATTTCTTCACTTAGGGCAGTTATATTAGTTTAAGAGTTGTTGTAATTTGTGCCTTATAAATAAAATTAATATCATCACAACATGTATTGGTAACGATCCTCTATAAACTAATGTCCAAAATAACTGTATCTCACTTCCATTCTCAATGACTGTGTAGTGTAGGGCAGCGTTGTGAGAATTCCATCGGCATCGAAAGCAAGTTTTTAACTTGCCTAGATAGCCGAGCGGTCTAACGCGCTGTTCCTGCACTGCTAGGAGACAGATTCCGTAGGTCGAGAGTTCAACCCCGGGCTGGGGCGGAAGTTAGTATCCTTGTAAAAGTGAATTTCTCTGTGCTTTCCATATATATATATATATATATATATATATATATATATATATATCAATCTCAAATTTAGCTTTTAACTTTTTTTTCAATCAAAACATTATTTTTCTAATAATACTTTCTTTGCCTACAGATTTATTATCGTATAAGCAGAAATTTTAGCGAGGAATGAATTTTGGCATATTAAGCAAGGATATTGACATCGCTAAAATCAATTATCCCTAACAAGTCTCCCATATTAACCGCTTTTGTTATGTTTCTATATATGCACCATAAAATCGCTAAAATTTCTACTAGCTAGCATAAAATATATTTTTCTACTAATAGGATACATCTGGAATATAAATAAAGAAATACCTACCTGGTATCTTTGAGGTTGTTATTACAGGTACTACAGTCGTTGTACCTTTTGTGTTCGTTGACGTCATAAAACTGCTTTTTATATTGTCTTGTGTTGCATTAAATGTTAACTCATTAGTGATTGGTGTTGATGTAGGGTTCATGGAACCAATCGTTGAATTCGTTATAACGTCAGTTCGGTTCGTAATAATCTCTGTTGTGGTAGTTTCCAGACTGATGACTATTTGCCTCTTTTTACTTGGATCATGTTTGTTGCAAAGGTCAGAATTACAACATTCGCCATTAATACTTTTTTTCTTTCTTCTGCCTAGTACTCTCCCATTCCCAAATAAACTACTGCAAACCTAAAATGAGTTACAAACAACAAAAACATATTAGACTCTCAAAAGTAAATTTGCCCTACGAGGTGAAAAAAGACAGCAAGGATTCATAGGTAACTAATATATATATATATATATATATATATATATATATATATATATATATATATATATATATATATATATATATATATAAAGCACAGTTTACAACAACTCCTAAATTAATATAACTGCCCTAAGTGAAGAAATATTGATATAGAAAGCACAATGAAATTCACTTTTACATGGATACCCACTTCCGCCCCAGCCCGGGGTTGAACTCTCGACCTTCGGAATCTGTCTCCTAGCAGTGCAGGAACAGCGCGCTAGACCGCTCGGCTATCTAAGCAAGTCAAAAAACTTGCTTTCGATGCCGATGGAATTCTCGCGGCGCTGTCCTACACTACACGGTCATTGAGAATAGAAGTGAGATACAGTTATTTGGACATTAGTTTTTTAACAGAGGATTGATACCAATACACGTTGTAATGAAATTAATTATTTATAAAGCACAGTTTACAACAACTCCTAAACTAATATAACTGCCCTAAGTGAAGAAATATTGATATAGAAAGCACAATGAAATTCACTTTTACATGGATACCCACTTCCGCCCCAGCCCGGGGTTGAACTCTCGACCTTCGGAATCTGTCTCCTAGCAGTGCAGGAACAGCGCTCTAGACCGCTCGGCTATCTAGGCAAGTCAAAAAACTTGCTTTCGATGCCGATGGAATTCTCGCGGCGCTGTCCTACACTACACGGTCATTGAGAATAGAAGTGAGATACAGTTATTTGGACATTAGTTTTTTAACAGAGGATTGTTACCAATACACGTTGTAATGAAATTAATTATTTATAAAGCACAGTTTACAACAACTCCTACACTAATATAACTGCCCTAAGTGAAGAAATATTGATATAGAAAGCACAATGAAATTCACTTTTACATGGATACCCACTTCCGCCCCAGCCCGGGGTTGAACTCTCGACCTTCGGAATCTGTCTCCTAGCAGTGCAGGAACAGCACGCTAGACCGCTCGGCTATCTAGGCAAGTCAAAAAACTTGCTTTCGATGCCGATGGAATTCTCGCGGCGCTGTCCTACACTACACGGTCATTGAGAATAGAAGTGAGATACAGTTATTTGGACATTAGTTTTTTAACAGAGGATTGTTACCAATACACGTTGTAATGAAATTAATTATTTATAAAACACAGTTTACAACAACTCCTAAACTAATATAACTGCCCTAAGTGAAGAAATTTTGATATAGAAAGCACAATGAAATTCACTTTTACATGGATACCCACTTCCGCCCCAGCCCGGGGTTGAACTCTCGACCTTCGGAATCTGTAGCAGTGCAGGAACAGCACGCTAGACCGCTCGGCTATCTAGGCAAGTCAAAAAACTTGCTTTCGATGCCGATGGAATTCTCGCGGCGCTGTCCTACACTACACGGTCATTGAGAATAGAAGTGAGATACAGTTATATATATATATATATATATATATATATATATATATATATATATATATATATATATATATATATATATATATATATATATATATATATATATCCAAATTTGAAAATTTCACAGTGTCCTGTTTTTATATAAGTAAAATTAAAATAAAAAAGGCAACACAGATTAAAACGTTAGCGCTTTCATTACATCTTCAGACGTTTTATACAATAGACGTTACCATGAGTATTGTAAAACATCATGAAGAAGAAATGAAAGCGCTTGTGTTTTATTTATTTCTGTGTTTCATATATATATATATATATATATATATATATATATATATATATATATATATATATATATATATATATATATATATATATATATATTTGTTATACCCTTATAAATATCATTCTATATATTTATTACTTATAAAAAGTCCAACAAAAGAACTGTTAATTACATCGGTCTAACAATTTCACTATTGACTGGTCTTACATAAGAATTGTTAGACTGCAACGTCACTCGTCTGTTACGTCACAATTAATCATCGTTCAATATCGGCGACGTGAAAATAGCCGAAGTTAAGAGCTACAAGAGTTGTTGCTAACAGCACGGTAAGGAAGAAGGGAAAAGTATGTTTTGTGATAAATAATTTTTGTGATACAACAGATATATAATTGATTTTGTTCTTTCTCGGCTTGATGTTATATATTTACTGAAGAAGCCATAATTTTCCATATAAAATAAATGATAATATAGCGTGTATTGATTAAATTGATCAATCGTAAGTGAGCAGTGAAGGGTATAACAAAACAGTTATAGACTGGGATTCGGGCAACATATGATTTGTTGGACCTGAAGGTGAAAATGTTGCCCTTGGCCCGCGGCCTCGGCCAACATTTTCACCTTCAGGTCCAACAAATGTATTATATATATATATATATATATATATATATATATATATATATATATATATATATATATATATATATATATATATATATATATATATATATATATATATTATAAATACTGTTTCAAATTCATGCTATAATAGGATTGTATATACTTTACCTGATGAAAATCAATACTCGGAAATAGTTAAATCTGAAATTCAAAAATAAGTTACCTACTAGATTTGTGGCACATCCAAGTTGGTAGGTAATTGAGAAGTCAGAGGCTATGCCCTCATGCACTAAACATTTCTAAGAGAAAGACACAAAATACCATTCACTTTAATGTGGAAAGAAAAATACTACATGAAAAGAACACAAAACATTCTTTTCCACAGATTAAGAGCAACACATGATTTAAAAAGCATTAAGAAACTATTTATAATATTCATTATTTATCAACTCACATATGTACGATCAGGACATATACGTGTTGTGTTACAATTATCCAGCGAGTTAGCATCATTACAACTGTAGCATTTTCTAGCTGTAAATATTCACAAAGCAGGTTAATGAATATGTGTGTACATTAGAAATAATACAATGCTTTCTTTGGTTGACAGAAGGAAAGTTATTGTTACAGCTTTTGCAGTAAAAATACATCACTCGCATATGCGTGTTTTGTATTTGTTTCTGCAACAGATGCAACATCAATTTCCCTAATAACAACTTACGAAAGCATTAATTTTACATTTTAGAACAGTTACAGACGGACAGTCTCATTACTATACATGTACATCTCATAATTTTTATAGCAATTTGGAATTCTCTATATGACTTATTCCAATATAGAAAGAAAATAAAAATAAAGTTCACCCAGAAGGTGTCTAGCAAATTGAACCGTTTGAATTTCATAATCTCGCATATTTTATGGTGACATATAAACCATGTCTACAAGAAGGATATGGAGATAACGAACAGTAGTCAATCTCAAAGTTCATAAAACAATACAAAATAGGAGCAGAGCAAACACGGACCTCCGAAACATCAGAGGTGGGGTCAGGTGCCGTGGAGGAGTGAGCATGCCCTGCTGACCGGTCACACCCGCCGTGTACTCCTTGTCATGATCAGGAAATAACGGGAAAATCCGTCGTCAATTCAGTGTATAAATAATGGACTAACAATTAGTATGAAAAACGTCAGACAGCATTTGACTCAATGATAATCTGTCATTAAGTCAAATGATGATGGAAGATTTTCATACTTATTGTTAGGTCAGTATTTATAGACTGAATTGTCAACGGATTTTCACGTTTTTTTCCCGATTATAACAAGGTGCACGCGGCGGAATTGACGAAGTGGCAGGGGATGTTCAATCCTCCATGGTACCTGATCCCGCTTCTGATGTTTTAGAGTTTCGTGTTTGCTATGTTCCTGATTTTAATTGTTCAAATTGATTTATGGGCTTGAATAATTGCGTTATCTCCATATATTTCAGTTCAACCAATCAGACAAAAAGGAATTTGTTAATTACATAGAATAAAATATACTTTGTAATAATAATTTATATCAAGGATTTAACAAGTAATTTGAATTCACCTTTTAATGGGTGCCTCTCAATTGGAAATTGATTTGATTAGTTAATCTAAAGTTTCAGATTCCAAGCACATTTACAATTACCAAGTGTTCAGTTTAGATTTCATTCACTGCATCTTGTATTTCAAGTTACTGTAAATATTGTAAGAAAATGTCATTCTATATAAGTTCTAACGAATTCTTACGACACTTGTCGCAGGTCCTGGGACAGATTTTGGACAGGCACGGATTTGAACATACATTGACATGAAGATTGAAGGTTTTACATAAGTCACTATCCATGTCGTCACATTGAGAGTCCAGGCAGCAAGCTACGCTCAGGATACTCACAAATATACCTTTAAGTTTTAACAATAAAAGCAAAAAATTCAGTATACTCGTAAATTTTATTTAAAAAAAAAACAAAACATTTTTAGTGTTTCATTGAAGTGTTTTCCATTTATTGTTGTTGGCATTTAGTTAATTCAACTAAGAATGCTCGCAACTAGTAAATATAAATGCTATCTATGAGAATTATGATTTTTTTTCTAGGTATAAGGTATACTAATAAGAACGTTAAGAATACAGAATTTAACAAGGTTAGTTTCACAGAAACAATTCAAACACTTAATTTCTTTATTTACTAAAGTTAATGAGAAGCACTTCCGGTTCGTAATTCCTAAACCATTATCGCATTAGTAGGTAAAATATTGCTATATTCAATAAACAGAAGATAATGTTAAAGAGTAAATCGAACAAAAATAATGCTGTTCATGTTTAAGAATCCTACTGAAAATTAAAGAAGATTTTAAACAGTTTGGATTACCTAGATTATGCTTCATAGCGTATTGTTGAGATGACCTATCCAGGCAGGTATGAAGGGCTTAAATAAATGATAACAAAGATTGTCTTAAAGTCTTAGTGCAATGCACTTAATTCAAAGTTGAAAGGGATTTAGATAATTCACTATTCTTGGTCTATTCTGGGAATACTTGATGATCATTTAGTGATGATGTCTGATAAGTTGAGTGACCAACATGCCTAATCCTCCTTCAATCTGGAATATAGTTTGAAAACAAATCCAGATTTTTATGAAAGTAATTTTTACAAAATATTAAATTTTTCGTATACTGATACTTAGGGAAGGGGTATTGGAATCGAACAAAGCTAATACTACGAGTAATGTAAACATACTGAGTTTCACTTTAGTATACAATTAAAAAAATGATTATATAAATTTCATACAAAAAAAAAACATTTGTGTTAAAATTCCTAATATACGAATAGTAGCATTGGATTTCAGTTTTAAATACAGTGTATACAGATGTTAGTCATGCTGATAGCGTTTAAGGACACGCATCCTAAAACAATCAGAGATTGGTGTTCATTACTTACCCTCTTTCAAATGTTAATTATGCATAAATCAAATTTCTACAACATTTGAAAATAATTGCATGCATTACGTGATTTGTTCATTTTTGCCAGCAGAACACTTCATCTTTTTCTATACTTAATATCGCACTTTATATATAAGATATTTCTTAGATGCTTTCAATTCTAATTAAAAAAAACTTTATGCGGCTGAAATTATTCATTTAATATACATATCTTAAAAATAGTAAAACTAGTTATTTTCTGCTTGATTATGGAATAAAAAGATTCTTTATGACTTCAATTTTTCAGTAATATTTTTTGTTTATCAAACTAATTGATCGCTGATAATGCAGCCAGTTTAATGCTTGATACATGTGGAACTTACGCAAGTGTAAATCAGATATTGATACTTAAAATTCCATATTACTTTTATGAAATTTTATTTTACAAAATTTTACCAATATCAAGAAATAAAAATTTACGACTTTTCAATACTTTATAAAACCATCATTGACAGCTGAATTTTCAATAAAAATGTAAATCATAAATATGCACACCTTGTCATTGCTCATTTGCAAAATTATTTGGGCAAAACATTCTGATTGTACACATAATTATGTACTCTGAAGGTGATTGCTCGAGTTTCTGAATGACAATATCTACTGCTATGTTGTTTTTCGAAATCAGGTCTTTCAACAATCTTTTCAAGTTCCCAGTTGGGTACCAATTTTGCCAAATTATTGGAAGACCTATTTCTGGTTTTATATTAAGCAAAATTTATTTAAGATTTCTACCTTCAACTTGACTTATATAGGATATATTGACGGCATATTATTAAATGACAGTAGTTTCCCCCCATTTATATGTTTATTAGGTATATCTCATTAAGGGGGCCGACTATGGTTTTATTGCGTAAAAACTACAATAGCGAAACTCTTCATTTTTATACCATATATAACTGACATTAACTTTAGTGTACATGCAAAGTTTGGGCGAAATTTACCGTCTAGGTATTTCTAAGGGAACATCTCAAAATACAGGTACATTTACTATAGGATTATATAGGGAAGTGCCAATTTTTAGCACTTTAAAGCAAATTATACATATACTACTATAGCGTTTTTGTTCAAACTATAATATATGATGAGTAATACTATCTTGTACATTATGTGTAAGAAACACAAAATTCTACCGTCTTGTTACCAGAGGGGGCGTCTCAAAAGGCCAAAAATTAACGAATTTGCCTGTTATTATAGAGTGCTACAAACTATGACGCATACATATGATTTATACCAAAAAATAATAAAATATGATGAGGAGATTATCAAATTCCTATGTAGAAAATTTCAAGAGCGTATGTTTTAATAACATTTTTATTACCCCTTTCTTTCAGAGCTTCAGTTTATCATAACGTCAAAAACGCACTATAACGACGTCAGCCTACCTATCAGTTGCAAAATCGGTTAAAAATTCAATTATATAAAATTGTAATTACATTTTTAAACCTGTAATTGCTTTATTTTGTTTAATTTTATTAATCAAGTGAAAAAAGTTGCTTTAAAACAGTAAATACGCTTCATTTTACTATGATGCGCGAAATATTGCGCAATGAAAACTAGAGTCGGCCCCCTTAAAATTGAAATAAAAGATACCACAGAGTCTGACACTTTTTTTTCATATTTGGACATTTTACTAGAAAAGATGTTAATGATAACCTAAAAACGAAGCTTTATGATAAACATGATATCTTCACCTTTTCAATCATCAATTTCTCGAATTATGGAACATGCAATTACAGAAATAATAAAACTGTTTGAATTCATATATCCTATCTTCTAGTTTATTAGGAATTCACATATATAATATATATCATGACAATTTACAAATATGATTCCTCATAATATATAACCATTATGGACAAATAATCATCAAGGAAGCGATTTCAGAAGTCAGAAGAACCTTTCTGCATGATGCGATACAAGTGAAAATCATCTAGACACGATTCAGGGTTTGTGTGAAAAAAGTCACATGAAATGAAAAAAAATATTTCCATATTATGTATAAACCCTGAAATACGTCTAGACTTGGCACTTTCATTGAAGGCGTTCATATGACTTTGTTTACTGGTTTACTTATCACTGCAGGCACGACGCACTTGTGAATCTTTAGATATGTGCAATGCTATTTTTAAAAAGCTGTCGTAGATAAAGACTTCCCAATTTGTGACTTAAGATAATGCCCAATATAATGCATATAAATGATGGGACTTGTTCTAGTTCTGCAGTTTAACAATAGAAACGGAACACGACGGACTGAAATATTTAAATAAAGGGGTCATGTCTCGATATTTTCTTCGACGGCAAGAAAAAAATGTCGGATAAAGCGATGTTACCTACTCTTACTGTACAGAAATAATGTGCTAGCAACAAATTATACACCGTAGCTATTTGGTAATGATTTTAATAGCGCCCTTTTTAGTGATTATTCTCAACATCGATTCAAATACGTTCGGGTTGAATTTTCAATGTTAATCATAAACATATGATGTTTCTTTGAGAAAAAGTAGGAACGTCATATGTGGATCGAATTGCTGAAAATATATTATTATTATTATAAATACATGTACAGTATAGGATGAAATAAAGTCGAATAATTTATCGAATATATTAACTTAAAGTTTATTTTCAAAATCAATAATGCCACCCCAAATGTTCTTAATTAAAATTTAAAGAATGCCATGATATCGCTTCTCTTTATATGCACTGTAATCCGGTGTTCACAATTAGCCCGTGCAGTTGCAGTTACATGTAACTATGTGTTTATTTATCTGCGAGATTATAACAGTCATTTGGTTTCATTTAGAAAAGTACCGTTACTTCTGTATACTTGTCTGTTATAAATAATAGCATGAAAAACAATGATAGAAATTGATGCATAATTACAATTAAATTTTAACAAAACACGCCTAAGTGTAGGAATACCGTTGCTCCATTATTATGCGCTACACTGTAAGACTATGAACTAAATATCGACGATTTTTTTAATTTTTTTTTTTTGGGGGGGGGGGGTCTTGTTAATAAAATAATCACAGGTATTTCTATTCAGAATATCATTAATATCATAGCTAGTATTTGAATGTATTTCTATTTTCTGCTCTTTTCGAAAATTACTAAAATCATGTTTATGAACATAAACAAATTTCAGATTTCTCCGGTTCAAATAAAACACAAACACAAATATGGGCCCTTAAAATATTTGAACACACAACACAGAAATTAACTTATTTTAATCAGCAAGTTGCAATGCCTCAAGTTTTCAGATGTCTGTGTAACTGTTCGGTTTTCCTCAGGTAAGTTTGGTGTGGAGTGGAGCTTACTCGAAGCGGATGAGAAGCCCCGAGGGAACGACGCTGTCTAGTGTACATACTACCTACCGGTATATACACAGGATGTTACCTGAGTGTATTACCTGTATGCGTCCAATTTCTTAAAGAAAGAACACATACTTTTCAATCTTGATAAAATTCTAAATGAATTAAAGATATATCATATAATGAAATAGAAAATAGAGAATAAGAAGTAATTTGAAAATAATGCCCAAGCCAAAAAAGATGTTATAGAAAGATCATCAGAAAATCAAATACATTAACTTTGTATTTATTCTCTTATTTTTTCACTTTAAGTTCACCATTCACATACTTACTAAGCTAAGTATGGTATAGACTATAGCAATTAAGTTATTATTTCACCTAGTCAAATTCCCGTTTTCACACATTTTTTTAATTACCTGTAATTCAAATGTGTGCAAAAACGGGAATAAACCTGTTTTCCTACGACATTGTAAAACGAAGCCGTTTTTTTTTCATGTGTAGCTCATGAATTGAAATGCATGAAATAAAGAATGTTTTTGTTGCAGACAGAATCCTTTTTAAATTTTTTGTTTCAAATAAATATTTTCAATAATTTGACAATTTTAATATATTGTGTTTTTCTTAATCAAATTTTATAACAAAAATACATTTTATTTTACCACCAAAATCTGTTGTTGTAATCTGGCGACAAAAAGGGAAGTAATTCAAATTACATGTCATGTACATGTGCTAAACGAAAGAAGAAAGTGGATCATAAACAAGTCTCTCGATAAATAACAATAAAACTTAGACAAATTCGACAAATGGTCAATAAACTGATAAACCAGCGTTAGTTTTATTCGCTAGAATTAAGAAATTAATATACTGATCAAAAAGGAGGAAAAACGATCATGCACGTGCCTTAATATTGTGATATTTTTCTTCTCTCTATCTCCCCCTCTCTCTCTCAATCTTCTAACTGGTACAGATATAAACAGACACGAAATAACATAGTAATGGATCATTATTTGATTTCATTAATATCAAATACTTCATTAATTTGTTTTAAAAGTTTTTTTTTTTTTTACTTTTATTCTTTTTATACACTCCGTTTAAAAAAAAAGCAACAATAATTTGACACAAATTCCAAGGCTAATATCGCATCTGAAAATGATATCAATGAAATAATAATGAAACAATAAATCAAATGTGTCGTTGAATGGCTAGACAACGATGTGCACATCCAGCGAGCGTTACCCAAGGTATACCATAAGACAGGTGTGAAACCCCCAGGGCATGTCGTTTCCTGCTCAGACACTGCTAATCCCTATACACAGGAAATGATCGCGGCTAATACTTAATACACAAAGAAACAGAATTTTTCAAAGAAAACAAAAATATATGAATTTTTGCATTGAATATTTATTAATATAAACTATAATTTCGTCTGTGAAGTTTATAATTACACCTGCACATCCTATCTTATCTATTGAACACGAAAATCGAGAAATATTAAAATTAAAAAGAAAGACATTGTATTAAAAAGTAAAACATGTTAATGTGAAGGTGAAAAACGATATTTTTTCTTGATCTCTTATATAAAGTTCATGTGCTCAAAGTTAACTCTCGTCATCGAATGCTTTCCGGTCATTTGACAATTTGAGAAAAATGCCTGCACATTTATATAAAAGAGGGAAATACATTAAAGAAAATTAATTAATTAAATTAACCTAATTTGGGAACAGAACATAAACGATGAGAAATAAAGAAGAATAGAACTTTTTCTTGATATCTTGGATAAAGAAAATTTAAGTTCACGTGCCCACTACATATGTAACTGCAAATGCTCGTCATCGGATGTTTTCCGGTAATTTGACACTTTAAGAAAAAGCCTGTACATTTTATATACAATAAATTGAAATTAATTAATAAACAATATGAAGATGTACATTTTTAAAAGATGTACATCTTTTTTTTTTCAAATGAATGCTGAAAATCGTTCATCGAAACTTAAACAGTCTGAGTTCAACATTTATTACAGTTTGCATATAATATGAAGATTTAAAAAAAAAACTAATAATTTCTAGTATTTAATTTTGTTTCTTGATAGATTCTTAATAACACGAAATAATTAACCAATTGCAAAGACGTAACAATTTCATAAAATTTTCTATTCAATTTCAAAGATTGATATGTAATTTTAGAAACAAAAATAAACTTATTTTTTCTTAGTTTAAATTCTATTCATAGCAAAATTTATTAATAAACACACGGGTTTTTTTTTTGTTTGTTTGTTTGTTTGTTTCTTTTTTTTCTCTTTTTTTTGTTACAGGGAAAATTCGCAAATTACAATTCGGGGAGATAACTCCCGTTTGTTTACGATACTAATTGTCAGTAATTGATCGATGATTTAACCGCGGCGGGGACAGGTAAGTGATGAATTTCCCGCGGAGGGAACGCGGTTTACCTGTCTACCTGGCCAAATACCGCGTTGTGATTATACCGCGGCGGGGACGCGGGAAATACGGGATCCGCGTTGCCTGTACTGTAAATGTTTTTGTTTGAAGGCAGGTACACATTTTTCTTTTTTTTTTTTTTGGCATGATATGGTTGTATTGATTCTATCATCAAACTTTTGTGAAACTTTTAGGCCAGGGAGTGCGTGGATTAAACTTTCCTTAATCATAGTCTTTAGTGCATTGGGTAAATCGAGAACATTCTGACGTAGTTTGAACTATTTACATAATATATTGCTCATTCATTGTACATGATGTTTTGATTAATGACGATTTATATTTTTTATACACAAATTAGTCTTTATTCATTGGCAAAAAAATTCCTCTGCAAGTTTAATATATCTGTGTTCTCAGTCGACCAAGATTTTGAAAAAAAAAAGAATTATAGGAAGTATTGGCTGAAAAATAATGGGCTGAAGGTTGGGACTAAACGAATTTCAATTACAGGTAAGATACAGTATGTTTTCTCTTATTTTTATTTCATAGTACAACTATAAATCTGTATATATTTATTATTCTCTGTTCAATGCTTTAAGTTTTGGTCACATGTTTTAAGATATTAAGTAAAATTTTGTTGCATTGGGGATTTTTGTTACGGGAATTGTTTATGCATATAGTGTTATTATGCATATATTATTATTATTATTATTATTATTATTATTATTTATATCATTATTATTATTGTTGTTGTTGTTATCCCTTCGCAACGAAGTTGAAGCGATTATTATTGCAATCTTTGGTCCACTAATGAATGGGTAAGATAAATAATTTGGTCCACTAGTAAATGCGTTAAGATCTCCTTGTACTTAAAAACTCCGTCAGGGGATAAAACAGTGTTACCCTTTAACTTCTTTATTTTAAATTTTTGTTTCGTTTGTTTTTAAGACTTGAGTATTTCCTTACAAACATACACTAGACAAAATTGCTAACGCACCACCTATAAAATAATTAATTTTTTACTTTAAAAAAAAAAACAGTTTATAATGTATTTGATATATAAATATGTTACTTTAATAAAAAAAAAAGTAAGGCATATTAATATCAAACCTTATTTAAAAGATACAATGTTTATGAAGTGTGACCAATTCATAGAAAATATTAAAATCTTGTCTATTCCTTTTTCGAAGAAAAAAAATCAGTTTTTTCTTTGTATTTGTGTTCTTTACATTTGTACTAATTAAAAACTCGTAAAAAATTACACCATTTACGGCGTTTGACGATAGAAGAGCGTGCTAAAGCAGGCAGTATGGTGTCTGCAGGGGGTTCCTTTAAAGAAATCTGTAAAAAATGAAAACAATAAAAAGCTTATGAATTTCACTTATGAAAATTTTTTGCAAATAAATAAACATAAATTTTTTTATTATAGATAGCCACGGCATTAAGTTAGCAGCATACAATAAGTTGAGAATTGTTACACAAAACTAGGTCAACCGGAAGTTGAGTGAATCTGGGATGGGTGCTAAGGCACCGGATGATTACTCGGCGATATGAGAGTCAATGACTGTCATTTGATTTATAACTATGTGGCAGCCTCACAGACCACCATAGTGATCAAGAATTTCATATCTGGTCAAAAATGGTGCGCAGTGCACAGCTGGAAATCTGTTTTCGGACAAGAAAGTTACGGGGTATTCAAGGGTCCTTCTCATGATACCAACTAAAGACACTTGTCCATTCCACTGTTTTGGAAATAATGGCATATTATATACACTTGCACCGATCCAGCAAATGTTGAATTCACAAATAAGATTTAACAAGTGGTGCGTTAGCAATTTTGTTTAGTGTAGATGTTAGCAATACTTACTAAAATACGGTTATCGGTCTGCGTAGCACACGTATAACAGCTCATTGTGAAGGTTAACGTTTCTTAAATGAAAGTCAAATCCAAAGTTCAATGACAAACGGTCAAGATTTTTGGAACTGTTGACAAATGTAAAATAGTCATAACATCAAATATATCGATATTTTCATCAAGATCAGAGTTTGAAAATGGCTGTATTTCCAAAATCAAATGATCAAAAGTTTGGTTACCCATGAAAGGATTATTTCACAAGGAAACGTGTGCAATATTAACGCGCTAGTCTATGGCGCGTAAACGTTGCTTTATTCGATAATCTTGTGATGTATATTCAAAATCTTATGATGTATGTTCAAACTCTTGTGATGTATATTTAAAATTTTGTGGTGTATATGCAAAATCTTGTGATGTATATGCAAGATCTTGTTATATATATTCGATAATCTTGTTATGTATATTCAAAAACTTGTGATGTATGTAATATAATCTTGTGATGTATGTTATATAATCTTGTGATGTATGTACAATATGTTGTGATGTATCTTCAAAATGTTGTGATGTATATTCGATAATCTTGTGATGTATGTTCAAATCTTGTATTTTACGTTCTGCATTTTTCCTTGGATTTGGGATTTTATGACGTCTGTCGCTAAACACAAGTAAACAACAGAGCTTAATTTCAAATGTCAAGAAAGCATTTTGGATGATTTGTCTAAACTTTAACGATGTTATACGATTTTTTTAATTTTTAAGATGTTATATACCGTAGGCGGCTTATTTTAGACGGTTGCTAGTTTTGGCTTATTTTGGCGTTTTGATGATAGTCCCATAAAATTTTAATCGCTATGATAGTCAGTACTCTTCTTTGAGTCCATATGCAAAGAGTTGAGACCCTGTGTCCGCTAAAAAAGAATTAAGCCAAACACTGGCATACCTTTGAGCAGGCAAAACGCCACGAAAACCCGCGATACGGTAACAATAAGACAAAGCTTCTCGGGCGACATTACCAGAATGATTGCCCCTCTGTGACAGGAAAGCCCTAGAGTGTTATTTCTCCCGATGCCGAAAGCAGGAAAGCCCTGGAGTGTTATTTCACCCAATGCCGAAGACAGGAATGCCCTGGAGTGTCATTTCTCCCGATGCCGAAGGCAGGAAAGCCCTGGAGTGTCATTTCTCCCGACGCCGAAGGCAGGAAAGCCCTGGAGTGTTATTCACCCGATAGCGAAAGCAGATAGTGACATAACAAGCCAGGGCTTTCCCGTCACCGAGGGTCTTTTATTCTGGTATGTCACGCTCAAAGCCATTTGATAAGTGTCTAATATAACAAAACAAAATTCAAATGACGAGACTGGATGAAAAAAAACCCAACAAAATAAACAATCAAGAAATTCGAAAAAGAAAAGAAAATTAATAAACAACTTGTATTAGTTCATTTAAATTCCGCCTCACAAATGTAAAAGTGATGATGATCACAAGAAGTTGTTCGCATGAAATGGTGGTGGTCATCTGTCCGAAGAACGACGCACGTGTCGGATGGAGAGTCGTGAGGGACACCTGGAACAGCATGCCCAGATGAATCCCACACTAGATGATGATGGGAGTTAACGTGAGCACCAACAAACATCTCTTTGAGTTCAGGAGATACATCTATCGGCATAATAATAACAAAAGCCAAAACGTTAGGAATATATTTTGATATATTCAATGTTTATACGTTTTCAAATGATAAACTGAATTAAGGGTCATACTACAAAAAGGTGAAGATAGTAAAATTATAAAAACAATTCTAAGGTTAAGCCTATTAAGACACATGATAGGTGAAAATAGTAAAATTATAAAAACAATTCTAAGGTTAAGCCTATTAAGACACATGATATCACAATCCACGACTTACCAGGAAGAAGCCGGTTGACGTAATGACGAATATTATCCGCGTCCCGCTCAGATATATTATCCATAAGTTTAGCACAATGGTGATTTTCGCAAGAATCCTTTATTAAATATAATATCTTTATAAATCTTTAAGCTCTTACAAAGTACACTAAAGCAAAAAAAAAAAGCAAACAAACAAACAAACAGACAAACAAAACAAAAAAAACCTAAGTTCTTCAAAAAACTTCAAAAATGATTTCAATCTTAATGTAACATTGTAAGACACCTTTGCTCTTTTAAAACTCTTAGGTACAAATTTTATTTCAATTTTCTTTTGCTGTATTGTAATTCGCTTCTGAATATAATGTATGTTTTACGTTACCTTTGCTCCGCTGTAAGTCACTAAATGCTGTCGAACAAGAATACACTTTCCACCCAATAAGAAAAACCCGTTAGGACAGTGACTGTGTTGCGAATATTTGCATCCGTCTGCAATACAATTAAGCCAATAGAAATAATCAAATCTTTAATGAGAATAAAGTCTAGTTTGGTCAGTTTTGTTAAGCGGACCAATGGTATAGTTTTATGCAGTTATTGCTATTAGCTTGATAAATTATTCCGAAAAGTTTTATTCTAAAAACAGAAAATGGATCTGAATTATTAAATAAAGCGAATAACATTAACAAAGAATAAACATTTCTATTACATCAATCAATAATTTTATATATGTATTTTATATCATTCAATCAAATGCTGGTTGACTTTTTATGCGCCCGGATTGATAGATCCATGGTATATATTGTTTTTGTCCTGTCTGTTTGTCTGTCTGTCTGTCTGTTTGTTTGTTTGTCTCCAAACTTTAACCTTCGCCATAACTTTTGAACCATGAAAGATAGAGACTTCATATTTGGTATGCATACTCCACTAATTAAGCTCTTTCAAATGACATCAAGGTCAATGACCTTGTGACCTTTACTGTGACTTATATGCTAAAGATAACTTCTTATCTGCAAACTTTAACCTTCGCCATAACTTTTGAACCATTTAAGTTAGAGACTTCCTATTTGGTATGCACACTCCACCAAATAAGCTCTTTCATATGACATCAAGATCAATGACCTTGTGACCTTGACTGTGACTTGTATGCTAAAAATATTTTTTTCGTACCTTTGCCATAACTTTCGAACTATAGAAGATAGAGACTTCATATTTGGTATCCATACTTTACTAATCAAGTTTTTTCAAATGACATCAAGGGCAATGGTGTTGTGACCTTGACTGTGACATGTATCCTAAAATAGCTTTTAAAAAAAATTTATTGCCGCCGGGCGCATAGTGTTTCACAAACACATCTTGTTTTCATACTGATTGTTAGTTCATTATTTACAAACTGAGTTGTCCACGGATTTTTCCGTTTTTCCCCGAACGTGACATGACGCAAACGGCAGTTGTGACTGGTCGGCAGGTGATGCTCACTCCTTCATGGCTCCTGATCCCACCCCTGATTTTTATTTCGAAGGTCTGTGCTTACTCTGTTCCAATGCTGTATTGTTTTATGGACTCTTCAATTTGAATACCGTTCGTTATCTCCATATATCTCACGTAAAAGAATACAATGCAAAATCGATATATCGGTGAACTATGATCATTGTGATGATGGAATAAAGATGTTTTTTTTAAGTAAAGACATTTAATTAAGAAATAAACAACAATGTTAAAAAGTTCTCTGGGAAATGAACTTTTAGTTGGTCACGCGATCAAATCCTGTGAAGCCCGAAGGGCTTCTCAGTAGAATTGATCACGTACCAACTAAAAGTTTATTTCCCAGTGAACTTTTTAACATTGTTGTTTATTACTTATATTTACATTTGAGACGAATAAATTTCGAGTAAAATTGCATTTGTTACACGAACGGGCCGTCATATTGCTATATTGTGACGCGCTATGACCTAGAACTTAGAAGTTGTTTGGTCAAAGTTACTTTACCTCGCTCCAACATTTGAATGTTTACATTCATGTTTAGCAGTCCAGTTCAGGAAATATCTCTATATAGTGAAAGAACAATGATTGCTGCTGAGAATAATCTTACTATTTCATAAGTTCTTACAATATTTGAAGTCAAAAGCGGTGGTATCGCCTGTTTTAGTTTACATAACTCCAAAGGAGTTTCGGGTTAAAATGGTAAGTGCAGTTTTAGGTTAATTATAGTATTCAAAACCTTATTCACATCAAAAGAAGATTCGCTGTACATCTCGTGATTGAAAAATATCCATATTGTTTATCATTTTATCTTTTTTATCGTTATTACCTTAGAAATATTCCCAAACAAGTTGCACCGTGACAGAAATATGCAGACAAAATATCCCAGAATTTTCTCTTCATCTAAGAAAGATATTTGCAAATGTAAATATATCTTTATGTTTGTTGTGTAACTCATATAAGTTTGAGCCTTATAGTTTACAGAGTGAGAAATTACATACTGAGAATAAACTACTGCACTTAATTTCTTTTATTTTGGTTTTCAAGATTGTAAGAATATATAAATTTCATTTATATAAAGTTTATGTCTCCCAGTTAATCTATACATAAGCTTTACTTCGGCAATTTCTTAATTGAGCCAAGCTTATACAAAATATTTCCATTTCTCTATGTTTTCTCTGCGATTTCTCTTTGAAAGTTAGTGGATCTGATTTCTTCATAGTTCTACTGGAATGTAAATTAGGCAAATCGATAGGTCAGGACCCGGGGTCATCAAACATTTTTAGCCTAAATCAAAATCTTCATGTTTTACTTAAATATTGTGGAAATCAAGCAGATCAAAATAAAATATATTTCGGTATTAATTCACAAAACTCATTTTATTTGCAAAATTTGAGATCAATTCAATAAATAATAAATGTTTGACAAGTGATTGAAAACTTGACTTAAGTCTTGGTCTGTTTAATGATCCTGGGGCTTGGAACTAAAGAGGCCTAATACGCATTTAAATCTCGTACATGTCTTTCCTTGTGTCTGACGCTAATTATAAGGAGGCTAATTATGCATGAACATCTCGTGTGGTTGTCTTTGTGTTTGACGCAAGTGGGCGGGAACTATTGAAATTGACTTGGAAGTACCGGTAATTTAAATCTATTCGTCTACAGTTTTAAAAATCAAAGTCTGCAATATTACAGTGTATTTCGTAATGAAACGGAAATTAAAAGAATCACAGTCTAGTTAGTATAGCATTCCAGGGTCATCAACGATAGTGGGAAATGTGGGATAATTCATGCATACACTGTAACAGGCTTACTAGACTAACTAGACAGTAATTCCTTAATAAACTCATGAAACAATGATATCAACAGTCCTCTTTAAAGTCACCATTTATTAAGTTCTATGGTCGATACAATGACTCTGTCATCAATTAAAACCCATTACTTTCTCGAATAATGACTGTCATTTTTCATACTCAATATAAGGCCATTTATTACAGATTGTATTTTCTACAGATTTTTGCGTTTGTACGATCATGACAAGGAGCACACGGTGGGTGTTATAGGTCGACAGGGGATTCTTACTCTTCCATATGGCACCTGAGCCTGCCTCTTATGTTTTAGAGATAGGAGTTTACTATCCTACCGATTTGTATTTTTTAAATTGACTTTTGAGCTGGCTCTCTCTTCTGTATAAGCATATTTCATAATTACGTTTTGACGAGATGATGCTTCATTTTTTTCTTCGTCTGGATTAAAATGGATTAAAAGAGCAATCGATTAAACCGCCAAAAAACCAGCAATTTTTCAAGAACAACGTACATGGTGCGGGTGTTGTTGGCTGAGCATGTGTTGGCGCATGCGTAGTGGTTGTTGTAGTATGCACAAGAGCGTGATGATTACATAAATCTCCATTACAGCAATTTCCATCCAACGTCAAACCCACGTGGTCACTCCTTCGACCAAATAAATCACCAGCATTGACATGGAATCTTCTACACACCTATGGCGCATTATTTAATAATCAGTTTTCGTCATATTATTTTTTGAAAATATTTTTTGTCTAATGTAATTGAAAAAAATCGATGGACTACATGTACTTTACTTCAACGCCAAGTGGGCAATATTTTAGCCATATTTCGGTGGTAAAAAAACGAAGTTGGTTTTTTATATATTAATAAATAATGATCAGGAACTTACATTTTCATGAAGACATCCTATTTGATAGCCATGTTTTCCATTATCCATTAATTTCTCCAAAACATAACATTGCTGAAAATGTTTAATCTTTGATAATTAAAATTCGTAGTAATCATTTAGATATATTCTAATTACTAAAATAATTTTACTAATTTGAGCTTTTGTTTCAATATTAATTAAATAATAAGGATACAATATATTAGATAAATATCTGTAAAAATCAAAATTAATTTTAGATAAAGATCTTTCTTTAATAACAAACCTCTCCTGGTAAACAGACAGACGTGCTGGTACAGTTTTCTGGGGATTCCACAAAGTGACAGGAATAACACTCAGCTACAAAGAAATACAGTTTTCATTTATAAAAAATCTTATATATCGATTGCATTACGAGAAAGGTATATTCTCTACGTTAAAAAGACATAAGAGAGGAGGACCTTGTCTTTTATTTAAGAAGACATGAAAGAGGAGGGACCTGTATCAATATATAGGAAAATGACTGCATAATCATGCTCAATTGCTCTAAAATAGATAGATAATATATTTCCTTTCCATGACTTTTTCAAACACTTACAGCATTTCCCACAGGTGCGTGGACAGGCCTGTACAAAACAATCATCACTACACATGTTCCTTTTGAGAGTAGCAAGTTTTTGACAGGAAGCCATGTCGATATCAGCACATGCTTAAAAGATAAAATCAGGAAGTCTTTTACGAGTATAAGATATATTCACTTAATTCTGCTAGGTAGGATTTTTGATGCAGCAAGTTAATAATGTAATCCTGACATGCTGATGAACATTTACATTTGAATACAAGCGATCGAATCTGTTTTATATACTAGTTTCTTTAGTAATTATCTTAATTACAGATAAAATTCATTGACATTTTATACTCCTCGTTGTGGACGTAGAGTGTGCGAATGACATTAATACAAAATATTTATTAAAAATCAAATTTATCAGATAGAGACTAAAATATTGACATGCTGTTGAATTAGAAACATAAGCACCCTTTCTCTCAGTACTATTTAAGAACATTATCAATTGATGCGTTCAACTCTATACTCCTTTTTATCACTATGATTGCTATTAAATCCATCCTTTGTCTTTGAAAATGTAATTTTTAAGAAAGTTATTATTTTAAAAAATCCAAATATTAAACACCATTTGATGAAGTCGCAGAAATCGTTGTTCCGTCTGTGGTAGGTTTGTCCGGTATGGTTCCTGTCATTATAACAATCTGTCTTTTCCTCTTTACTGGCACATGCCTGTTGCACAAATCAGTACTGCAGCACTCGCCGTCAATACCATGCCTCTTCTTCTTACCCACCAGGATGGGGGCTCCTCTAGTGGTGGACGCTTCTGTCGTAGGTTCTGTCGTGGTTGTGGCTTCTGTTGTGGTAGCTTCTGTTGTGGTTGTGGCTTCTGTTGTGGTAGCTTCTGTTGTGGTTGTGGCTTCTGTTGTGGTGGTCATGTATGTGGTTGATGTGGTGGTGCTCGTTGCACCAAATAATGAAACGCATACCTTTAAATAATAAACTAGCATCACAAAGGTGTAGATAACAGACAGGGATCGATCTCAAAACACATTACAAAACTCTTGTCCATCATGAGTAATTGAAAACAAATCACTTGATAAACAGGTGATTTTCTTAAAAATAATCTCAAGTTGATGAAATAAGAATATCAGCAGTCTCGATTAAAGTAATAATTTCGTAAGTACTATGATCGATACAATGACATTGTCAGCAAATACAATATGTCAATGTATCAAATGCTGATTTACGTTTTTAACTATCGGTAATCGTTCGTCCAATGTTCCTACACCGAATTGACGACGAATTCTTCTGTTATTTCCCGATCGTGACAAAGAAGAAACAGCAGGTGTGACCGGCCGGCAGAGGATGCTCACTCCTCCATGGCACCTGATCCCATCTCTGATGTTTTGAAGGTCTGTGTTTGCTTTGCTCCTATTTCGTATTGTTTTTTGAACTTATCGTTATCTCCATATGTCTAAAAATCTTGCCAGAACTAAAAATTGCTTGTAAAGTTACTTACGTCCTTTGTTGCACATCCAAGCTGGTAGGAAATTTTAAAGTCTGATGAGATACCTTCATGTACTAAACAGTCCTGAAACGTCGTAAAACACCCATGAAGAAAATAACTCAGGTTTGAGCATTACCACGCAAACAGGTTGTTCAAAAGATGGAGTAATTAGTATGTTTTGCAAAAAGCATTTTTTTGTCTAATTTTTCTTATTTTTACGATAATCTAAAGATGCTTAATACCTTTTGTTTAAATAAAATATATTAAATTTTTTAAAACGGAAAATACATAGATTAAATCGATATCAATAAGATTAAATGACAAAATTAAAAGATTGGATTATAAGCATTGTTTGTATTTGTTTAAATGCTTACATAGGTCAGATCCGGACATATTCTTGTTGTATTGCAATCATTCAAGGAGGAGACACCGTTGCAACTATAACATTTCCTTGCTTGAGTAAGATGTTCGAGAAAAAAAAAACATTTCAATTATATCAACAACAAATAACAAGTGTCTTGCAAAACGTTAAATACGAACAAATAAGGTTGTATGAAGGTTCTGTAAAATCACATACTTTCGAGGGGTCAAATTTCCTGGTTTCAGTGGTTTATGGGAATTTGATTTTGTGGTTGAAGAATTGTTCTGTAGCAATATATGTGAAAAATGGCATTTTGTGGTGGACATTAATTACTGGATCTCTTCATACCTTGAAAACCTCGAAAATTAACCCCCATAAATAATAGTGATTTCACAGTAAATGGTCTGAAGGGATATAAGACTTACAATAACCATTAACTTAAGTATAGTGAATAAGTTGATAATTTATATTTTTTTAAATTATATATGTTAACATGGATCAGACGATTTGTTTTTGGTACTCTTCAACTAAAATACTTGATCATTTGTTAATATTATTATATTATATTCAAAATACTTTTGATTTTAGTAAATAAAGTATCATCTTTCATTACAAGAATTAAACGCTGTACACATGAAAGCAATTTAAAAAATAAATGAAACTAGTGCTAATTGTAACGGGGACCGTTACAGATGTTCCCCAAACGCTCCCCAACTCCCTTTTGGTGCCATATTCCCTGTAACCATTAAATAAGACAAACTCTATGCATTTGAGACTTTAACAAGTTTACCCGGAAGTGTACCAAGTTCATTCAAATTTAAACATTGCACGCGTGCGCATGTGAATCCATGTGCGTAATGACCATATCATCTTGTATACACAATCTATATATTTTAATATACTAAATATTAAAGTATTTAATCAAAAAGTATTTAAAAAATACGCTCATTCAAGTGTATTTTTTATTTTACTCTTTTCACGTACACACACGTGCATACATGAGCATGGTGACCATACCTTCTTGTAGAAGTCCATTACATCTATCTATGTTCTAAATCCCTCCCCGTTTGGTTGTAAACCAAGGGAGTTATAGCTGTTTAAAGTTTAAGCCAATCAGATTGCAGCGCACATACACGCACGTGTATGCATGTGCATGTGACCATATCTTCTTGTAGAAGTCTGTTATATCTATCTATGTTCTAAATCCCATCCTGTTTGGTTGAAAACCAAGGGAGTTATAGCTATTTAAAGGTTCAGCCAATCAGATTGCAGCGCACGCGCATGCACGTGTTTTCATGATAATTGCTATATATTATGTTGTAGGATATCCTAATGCATGGCTATCTTCACAATTTCAAAGGATTTTGTCAATAAACAAGAAAGATATTGAGACTTTAGTTTCAGCCAATCAGAGCAAAGCGCACGTGCATGCGCGTGAGATCTTGCTATTTTGACCATGCGATATTGTTTATACTTCTAATATATTCTTATATTATGAGTTTTAAAGCAGTTCATCAAAAATGTAAAAAGTTACGCCTATTTCAATTAAATCGGTCATTTCACGTGTTGCACGTGCACGCACTTGCAAGCACGTGCGCGTAAAATGACCTTGATTCCGCAAATCTACATAACATGTCTACTTACCCTAAAAAGGTTTTACCTACATCAGACGAACAGTTTACAAGATCATTCCCGGACAAAAAAGTACCCAGGAAGAAGAAGAAAAATAATAATAATAATAACTAGTGCTAATTGTAACGGGAACCGTTACAGATGTTCCCCAAACGCTCCCCAACTTCATTTTGGTGCCTCATTCCCTCTAAGTTTCATAAAAAAAAAAACTAAACTCTCTGCATCTTAAACTTTAACAAAGATTTTGCTTAAGTATACCAAGTATATAGCAAATTTTTGCATTGCACGTGCGCATATGTGCATGCATATGCGGAATGACAATATCATTGTATCTACACTATTAATTCATTTTCATGTACTTGATATCAATGCATTTAATCAAAACGTATTCGAAAATGCGCTAAATCAAGTGCATTTGTAATTATATGAATTGCACGTGCACGCACATGCATGCATGTGCTTGATGACCATACCTTCTTGTAGGGGTCCATAAAGAGGATCTATGTTCTAAATCCCATCCTGTTTGGCTGAAAACCAACGGAGTTATAGCCATTTAAAGTTTTAGCCAATCAGATTGCAGCGCACGTGCATGCGCGTGTTTTTTTAAAAAATTATTTTATGTCATATCGTAGGATATTTTAATGAATGACTATGTTTTAAATTTCAAAGTATTTTGTCAAAAAACGAATAAGATATTGAGATTTTTGTTTCAGCCAATCAGAGCAAAGCGCACGTGCATGCGCGTGAGTTCGTGATAATTTGACCAAGTCCTCTTGTCTATAATACTAATATATTCTTATATTCTGTTTTTCAACACATTTCATCAAAAAATAGAAAAGTTACGGCTATATCAATTATATTGGTCATTTTACATGATGCACGTGCGCGCTCTTGCAAGCACGTGCGCGAGAAATGACCTTGATTCCGCAAATCTACATAACATGTCTACTTACCCTAAAAAGGTTTTACCTACATCAGATGAACAGTTTACAAGATCATTCGCGGACAAATAAGTACCCAGGAAGAAGAAAAATAATAATAAGAAACAGAGTAAAAACAATATGTTCCCCAACTTCGTTTGGGGAACATAATAATAATGATAACTAGTGCTAATTGTAACGGGGACCGTTACAGATGTTCCCCAAACGCTCCCCAACTCCCTTTTGGTGCCATATTCCCTGTAAGCTTCATTAAATAAGACAAACTCTATGCATTTGAGACTTTAACAACGTTTACCCAGAAGTGTACCAAGTTCATTCAAGTTTTAGCATTGCACGCGTGCGCATGTGAATGCATGTGCGTAATGGCCATATCATCTTGTCTACACAATCAATATATTTTGAAATACTAAATATTAAAGTATTTAATCCAAAAGTATTAAAAAATACGCTTAAACAGTTGTATTTTTGATTTTACTCATTTGAAGTGCACGCACGTGCATACATGAGCATGATGACCATACCTTCTTGTAGAAGTCCATTATATCTATCTATGTTCCAAATCCCATCCTGTTTGGTTGAAAAACCAAGGGAGTTATAGCTATCTAAAGTTTAAGCCGATCAGATTGCAGCGCACGTGCATGCACGTGTTTTCATGATAATTGCTATGTATCATGTTGTAGGATTTCCTAATGCATGGCAGTGTTCAAAATTCCAAAGGATTTCGTCAAAAAACAAGTAAGATATTGAGACTTTAGTTTCAGCCAATCAGAGCAAAGCGCACGTGCATGCGCGTGAGATCTTGCTATTTTGACCATGTCATGTTGTCTGTGCTACTAATATATCCTTATGTTATGAGTTTCAAAGCATTTCATCAAAAATGTAAAAAGTTACGCCTATATCAATTAAATCGGTCATTTCACGTGTTGCACGTGCACGCTCTTGCAAGCACGTGCGCGCAAAATGACCTTCGTTCCGCAAATCTACATAACATGCCTACTGACCCTAAAAAGGTTTTACCTAAGTCGGATGTGTAGTTTACAAGATCACTCCCGGACAAAAAAGTACCCAGGAAGAAGAAGAAGAAGAAAAATAATAATAATAAGAAACAGAGTAAAAACAATATGTTCCCCAACTTCGTTTGGGGAACATAATAAACATATGAAAAGTAAACAACATACGGCACTTATTGCAGGTCCTCGGACATAGTTTTGAAAGACACGTGTCATCACAAACACTGACTTTATTATTAAATGTCCGGCAAATATCCTCATCTATGTCGTCACAAGTAGATTCCAGACCCCACACCACCCCAAGGACACATAAAAGTACGCCTAGAAATTATATTCAGAAACTTGCATTTCAAAACACCAATACTACTTAAGTGTTGTCATCGTTAGTCAAAAATATTTCTTTGCTACTACGACTCAAAGAATATAATGTTCTTTTTTTATGAATGCAACTTTCTGTCATGTCAATACAAACAAAGCTGTCCATAATTTTCAATTGTATGTAGACAATATAAGTGGATAATGTTAAACATTTTTAAAATATGTTTCAAGGATTTTGTAGAAATGTTCATAAAATATACAGTAAGATAATGCTTACCTACAATATGCCTCATTGTAAATCGTGCATTTGAAATTTCCACGCAAGTAAAAGATTACCTACCAATGTATATATCGTGACGATAACGCCTACGTTAAAATGTACTTAAATCAAAGATAATGTAAATTTACAGGATTCACAATTCATTGTTAGAACAATTCTAGGGACTAGATACTTATCAACACTTATACATCAATACATATACTTACATGTACCTATTTTTTTCTGACGTTGTATTGACCTGAATTTCCAACAGTCTAAAGAAGTAAACGTACACTTTGCAAACATATTTTGTGTGTAAAGTATTATAGGAATATTATTTTTTAAAAGGAATTATAAATCAAATTCAAAAACAAAGCACTCAAAAAATGAAGACCAGCTCAATAGTGTAAATCACTTTGTTTTTGCGAGATATTGCCTCTTTATTAGCGGGACAAAATTTTCACAAATTTTGGTCATTGCTGAAAGAATACTACTATACGCGAGAATGATATTTTCGCAAACACATTGTCTTTCGTAATAACGCGAAAGTTCTCCCGAATAAACATTGATTTACGGTACATCAATCAGTGTTTGGGTCAAATACTTTCGAAAAATATGCAAATTATATTAAATTATTATAAATACTATTGATTTTAAAAGAAATCGACAACAAGCTAATTACTACTGATGACCGTTGAGGCCAGTTTAGGTAAAGAAATATTTTTACGCAATAATTATTGCGTTTAAACGCAATAAAAAAATATTTCTTTCTCTGAATAGGTTTCAACTTGCTGTCGTAGATTACGTGTACTTTCACTTTCTAAAGTTATTCATTACATTTGATTACTTTTCCTTCATGTAATCACGTGTTTACTCTAGATCGTACAAAATTTTATGAGGATTTTTGTCGCGTTCCATATTAATTTGTTTATCTTCTTACATTTAGTGATATGTTACATGTAATTGTTCAAGAAAGAATTGTAACTTTGTGCAATGATCGATTGAAAGGGAATTCTGACATCTCCGTGGCACTTGATCTCACCTTTGTTGTTTAAGAGGTCTTTATTAATGACTTGTGAGTTTTTAACATTGAAAAAAAAACTTATTAATAATTCAAAATAGAAAATGTTTAAGTGCATTAATGGATGCAAGGTAGATTTACTTACATGCATACCTGCATTTGATTGTTTAACTTCTAATTGCTAGATGTTTTTTAATGAGAATTACAAGTAACACTTGGAAGCTTGGATATACTTCGTTATAAATAAGCTGACCCAAATCATACCATCATACTTGTTTAAGTTTAGCTGCTTATTTATTAATTATATTTTCTAAAAAAAATTATGAATCATATCTTTTCTCATCTTAATAGAATATTCAGCTGTGCAAAAAAAGCTGTCCCCATTGCAATCATTATTGATTTTTTGTGACATTGTTAAAACTATTTAAAGTATATGTAATACAACATCAATACTCTACTGCGTTAGGGTAAAAAAATTCATTCCACTTGTAGACTATATGGTGCGGACGTTAAGTTTAAGGTGTAAGAAATCTTGATGAAAACATTTATCTTTACGTGAACTTCACTTTATACTGTGATATAATATGAATTAGAAACAATAAAGATTTTTTGATGAAACATACAATTTTAATTCATTGGAGCCTGACACAAAGGCCTTAAAGAATCAGTACAATCCTCAGCATGAAGACCTGGCCGAGCCGGAGAGTAACTTGCACATGGTTTAGGACTGTGTAATCCTAATATGGCTCCCAAATAGTTAAAACTAACTGCATGTCTTCCGCTTGTATTCCAGACGAATTCGCCATTTCTGTGAGGATCATGAGCTCCAATGTACACGTGGCTCCTTCCAATTACTTTATTATAAAAAATCAAATAAAAACATTATCAGGAAGAATTCTTTGAAAACCCCTTTTTAAATAATGGTATTGTCAATCCAATTAAAGTTTAGTTTAAAAATACCTGTTTTCCGTTTCTTATTTCGTTGTCTTTACACTTAATAATATTTTTGTAAAAAAGCTGTAATATGGTTTGTGATTTCTTCATTGCGATTATTGCCATTGAAACATTGTAGCTTGGAAGGCACACTTTTTTAAATAACAGGGATTAGATTTTCAATTTCATAACAACATTCATATTGTTTCTATAAAGAGATTTAATTTCCTTCTCCTAAACAGATTTTCTTCCAATTTATTATAAAGAATTACAATGTATAAAATGAAAACATCGGAACAAGTTTTGATAAACAGTAGAAGATGAAATGATAAAAAAAAATTGAAATGAATTATGAAAGTCCATGGCTTAAATACGTGTAGTTGAAAGATTCGAAGTAATTCAAATTTTTTTTTTAAACTACTATACGTTGCATATTTTCTACATGTATACATCCTTTGTATTTTGAAGTTACAATTTTCTGCAACAAATTAATTACATGTACCTTAGATAAGAATTCATTTTATAAATTCATAACCTGTTATGGATCATACAAAATGTTCAAGTGCTCTGTAATCTCCGTGTGAAAGGTTTTCGGCCAGTTTGGAACAGTGCGTCTTGCAAAAGTTCTAAAAAGATTCTACAAGTGGTATTAATTTAGATAAAGAAAATAATGTGACTTTGAAAATGGAATAGGATAATGAATATACATGTCGTAATCATTCTTACCATAGCATCATCGTAATTTAGAGCAGTACTTCCAATCATATAACATTTACAATCTACAAGAAGTTTGCAGGACAGTGGTGATTAGCAGCTGTGTAGGCACACGCTTTAATAGGAAATAGGATTAAATTTTTTTTTCTATATCATTATACCGATTTTTTTATTTTAAATATATATAAATTTCCGTATAAAAAGAAATGGTGATACAATTTTCCTTTAACATGGATAGTGAATACCTAATTATTTATTTAAAAGAATTGGTTTCTTACAAGTAGTTGATATATTCCTTTGGTAGAGCTAAATATATAGAAATAACGAACAGTATTCAAACTCAAAAGGCCAAAAAAAAACCTAATAGAAAATAAGAGAAGAGCAAACACGGACCTTAAAAACAATAGAGGTGGGATCAGGTGCCATGGAGGAGTGATCATCCCTTGCCGACCTGTCACACCCGCTGTGTTTTCCTAGTCATGATCGGGAAAATAACGGAAAAATCCGTCGTCAATTCAGTGTATAATTAATGTACCAACAACTAGTATGAAAAACTTCAGTCAGCATTTGACTCAATGATAAATTGTATTTGCTAAAAATGTCATTGTATCAAACATAGAACATACAAAATGATATAACTTTAAACGAGACTATTAAAAACCTTGTTTCATCAACCAACATGTTTGTCAATAATTTACCTCTTTGTAGATATCGTACATACATGTACGTAGAGGTGTACTTTGTTTTGAAGTGGTGTATGCTATGTAAAGCTATCAGTATGTGTTTTATAAGTTTTAAGAATAGTATGTATGTGATCTTCACGAAATGCTGGTATCTTGAGTTTTTAATAGCCATTCTTATGTTGTATGCCTTATGCCTCCTGTACTTTTATGCCATGTAGATACTTTAAAACCTTGATAGTACGACCTTGAATACTTGTTAAGTGTTGAATTACCAAACATAAAGTATCGGTATATTAAATTTTCAATTATAGTTGATTAGGTAAAATTTCATCACGTGCTATTTAATTAAACCTTTGACAAATGGACCTAGGGTAAATTCTTAACATTATAAGCATACATGTATTTGTAATCAACGTACTGCTTGAGGGAGAGTAGTAGCAGTCACGTGGGTCAGGGCGTAATGGTTACAGAGGTCACTTGAACAACAATCCCCATCTAGAGAGAGTTCAACCGGATCTGCTCTCTTACCAAAGACATGACTAGCTTGGGTATGGAACTGACTGCAGACCTATCAAAAGTATCCTTATTACCATGCAAAAAAGCAGACAACATTTTTCATTACATGCTCTTTTATAAAACAATCAAAACGCAGTCATTGGAATATGAATTTAGTACTAAATGTTTGAATAACTTGCCTTCTGATGCATACATCCAACCTTGTAGAAACGTTCCCCATTGTATGAAAGAGTCTCCAGTACATAGCAGGTCTGCAATAAAACTATGATTTAATGTTTCAAAATAAATTTCCTTACATTTAATTTTCAAACAAGATTTACAGGATTAAATAAAATCACAAGAAAGTAAATAGGCTAAGGCGAGCTTTAACCTCTTCCCTGCCACATTGTGTGGTTGTGTTACATTGTTCAGGATTCTTCACATGATCACACCAATAACATTCCGCTAAAGTAAGTAAAAGTCATTTTGTTAATTTAGACCAATGAAAAAAAATACTGAAGGAAAACATGTTTAAATAAGTGTTTTAAATTCAATTTGAATGAGAAACCGTAACAGAGAAAATTTTGCTTGGATTAGCACAGGGAGAGAGGATATTCTAAATTTTATAAATATAAACTGATCATATTTTACGAAAAAGGTATAAGCAAGACAATCTTCTGAACAATTTTTCAATCGAGTTAAATTATCAACAAACAAGTTGATGAAGCAGGAATATCAACAGTCTCATTTAATATAATCATTTAATAAGTCGATAAAATGACCTTGTCAGTAAATACAATAAGTCAATTGCTGAGTGACCTTTTCATTAATTATTGTTAGGCCATTTACACTCAGAATTGTTGGATATTTTCGTTATGATAAGGAACACACAATGTGTGTTACGGTTGTCTGCAGGGAATCCTCACTCCTCTATAGCAACTGATCCCACCTCTGATGATGTACAGGTCCGTGTTTGCTCTGCTCCTGATTTGTATTGTTTGACTGGAGCTTAAATTAAATACTGTTCGTTATTTCGACATGTATATATTTCATTTCAAAGCAATGCAACTTTAAATGAGTGTGCCTATTTTAAAGTGCCAAATGTTTCCATTTAAAGGGCACTCACAACACTGTCCACACGTTCTTGGACAAGCCTGTACCACACAAGGATCACAGCATATGGCTTTATTGAGACTAGATAGTCTCTGGCAGGCTGATATGTCAACATCCATACATTTGGAATTGGGTGTACCTGTAAACATTATGCTCA